TCAATAATCCGAGCAAGAGGGTTTGCACCATGTCCCTTGTCCATGGGAAAGGGGTTCGGGGGTTTGCCCCTGCGCCCTCCTGTTTCTTTCTTTCTTGGGAAAATTGCATCTGTGTCCCATTGAAAGATGGGAATACCCGCTATGGCCCTGCCCAGCTTCCTTTAGTACCCGGGAAATGGAGCCTCGCTGCACTGCTCTCTACATGCACAGAAGACAAAAAATATAGGGGTGCATCTTTCCATGTTCTTGCAGAAGATTCATTCCAATTTTGCACATTTGGAGAGTAGTGCAGCGAGGCCCATGGTCTGTGCAAATTATTTGCATGCCCAGGACCGAGGGGGGCCAAGGTTGGTATCGCCAAATTGCAGTTATACCCAACTACCGGAATGCTCAAATTATGCACACACCCCCGGGCAAATTATGTGCACACCCAATTTTGCCTGCTTCCTTTGGTACCCAGGAAATGGTCTGTGCAAATTATTTGCATGCCCACGACCGAGGTGGGCCAAGGTTGGTATCGCCAAATTGCAGTTATACCCAACTACTGGAATGCTCAAATTATGCACATGGCCGGGCAAATTATGTGCACACCCAATTTTGCCTGCCCCGTTCCTAGGCATAACCATAATTTTGTGCTCCCCAACCACCAAGGGCCTGTGTGACTGGGTACACGTATAAGTTGGCACACTGGAAAAGCAGGGCATTACCTTAAACCACCACTACAGTAGTACACCCACACCTAAAATCCCCAAGCACCCAAGAGCCCAGCTCAGTGGGTACACCCATGAACTGTTGAAAATAGGGACCCGTGTTGGAATCCAGATGATGGAACTTGATTGATGAGTAAGAGTTGTAAAACCAACTGTTTCTGAATGCCTTTTCTAAAGAAAAAGGGGCCAAGGTTGATATCTCAAGGCTGTCTCCCTTTAAGGAAAAAAAATAATAATAATAATAATAGGAATCCAGATGATGGAACTTGATTGATGAGTAAGAGTTGTAAAACCAACTGTTTCTGAATGCCTTTTCTAAAGAAAAAGGGGCCAAGGTTGATATCTCAAGGCTGTCTCCCTTTAAGGAAAAAAAATAATAATAATAATAATAATAATAATGGTAATAAATAATAATAAAAAATCCCGAAGCTACCTGCCCACTGCACACCGCTATTTCCCGAGCCTTCTGCGTGAGGTTACCTGCAGTGGGAATTTCGGAAGTGGCACCAGTGCTGGCGGTCTACCTGAAGGGAAAAAAAAAGAAAAAAAAAGAAAAAAAAAAGAAAGGAACAAACATGCCAGAGATCAATGATGTCGTGGAAGGACGTCATGGAGGCCACACTCAAATGATGCCATACTCAAATGATCACTTTCCAGAATGCATCTGACCACTATTGCGGGGAGAGGGAAACGTTGCTGTCTTTTTTTTTATTAATCTCCTTTTGTTCTTTTCTTCCTTTCCCTGCCAGCAAGGCAGCGCATATTCCTCGTGCTCAAAACGCCCTTGCTGAGAGGGCAGACTCACACTAGCGCCGTTGAAATGCATCAAATCACTTTCACGGCCAAAGCTGTGTTAGCTTTTTTTTTTTTTTTTTTTGTTCTTTTTTTTTGTCTGACAGTAGTGCTCCCCT